ATTCGTGCGTGTCAATTATTATTAGATACAAAGTACTACACCAATATAGTTGTTTTCACAAACCATGACTACAATCGTACGATATATGTGTCACAATTACTTTTGCTCAAAAACGGCCGCTCGTATGTGATGAGGTTGCATTGGCGTAGTCAATGATATAGACCCAACGATGGACTATCAATGATGGCGCTTTGCTAGTGATTTCACAGGTTCGGCATATGAGTATGTATAATCAGAAGTACATCTTGCCTTATGTAGATTTGCCGAGATAATATCCACACACATTTATATGCATACATACATAAACACATAGAATCGACTGCAGAAGCAAATCTTGCCTATATGTAAATATTACGGCAAGTGTTTGCAACATGTACGTACATACTACCAATACCGACATACCTTATGGTGAAGCAGCATTGACGTGGCCGAGGACATAGACCCGCGCTTGACTATCAACGGCGAGGGCTTTCCCAGCGTGATCAGACTAGGCTCAGCTAATGAGGACCAAGATGCACCCCATTGGCTGTTGGTGTCGAACGAAGACATCGACAACGAAGCGTCTGGAGGTTCGCTGGGCCGTTGGCAGCAGATCACATAGTCTCGACGCACCATACGCTTGGAGCCCTTCTTGGTAAAGCTGTGTTGATTGAATGTAAATGATCAGAATTGCATTGTTTAGTTGAGTATGAGATGTTATAAATGGAATAGTAGCTTCTTTGAATCGTTTTCTTGGAGCCCTCTTGAGTAAAGCTGTGTTGATTGAATGTAAATGATCAGAATTGGATTGTTTAGTAGAGTATGATATGTTATAAATGAAATAGCAGCTACTTTGAATCGTACTCTTGTAGCCCTTCTGAGTAAAGCTGTGTGGGTGATACAGATATATAATATTGGAAAGAAAGAATGAGGCGTTATACTGCAATTAATAGTCTCGTCGTGTCGTACCTTTGGAGCCCATCTTTTTAAAGTTGAGTGTATATATACAAAGTGCAGTAGTAGAAAGAGAGCACGTGTGTTTCTGGATAACCACAAAGTTTTAAACCACCACAGAATTAGGAACAGTGCCATTTTTATGAGAAGCACTCAGTCAAGAACACCATATAGGAACAATTGTACACTGTCAAATAGATCATTCATAACCAACCTCAAAAGCAACTATAAACCGTGCTCAATTACTTGAATACGCGTATACCAAATATAATCACGGCAAATAGCTGGGCTCACATACACAGTCACTGATCCACCGTACAAACCCCACCGTCCAACAGCACCTACCTGTATATACCCCTCTTGGCGGTATCATCCACATCTAGCCAGCTCAGCCTGCTTACAGCACTCATGAACTCGGGTGTATGCGGTGCCTCATTACCCGTATCCCGTTCCTCGGCCTGGTTCAAGTACTGGTTCAGGCTCTCCATTGTACACATACTCTGCCGAGTTACTGCCGGTAGTAGCTGCTCCAGCACTTCGTCTCGGGCCATCTGTGTGGGGAAGAACACCGTGCGTACAGACAGCCCCGAGTTCTGACCAAAAGCCTCACTCTCCACATCCCCGTCATTAGGGCTCGGGCGTGCCTTCCCTTGCCCTGGCACACCCACAGCCCCATTGCCAACCGTTGTGCCGGTAGTCAACCCCTCCACAGAGCCCACGCTCGTGTGATCTGTGGCATTATGACACGCGTACGACACCAAGTGCAGACTGTACCGCTGCGAGCATACTCCCTGAGTCTCGCGCAGAGTATTCAGAGTACTATCTAGCTCTTTTATCCTGGCCATGATGGTTTCTTTGTACTTCTTGGCCTGGCTCCTGCCGCTGCTGCTACCAATCTTCTTGCTCGCGCCGCTGCTACTGCCAATGCGATCCGCGGCTCCCGCAATCTGCCGCTCCACGCTTATCTGCCTGGTGATGGCGTTCATCTCTTCCTGTAACCTGTGGAGAGCATTCGGTATAGTACATAGTGGGGTGTCAATGGGTGGGTGTATGGTGTATTGTCGTTATTTTTTGTTAGTATTGGTGTTCACTTCGTCCTGTATCCTGGAAGTGACGTGTCAAAAGACATATATTAAGCTCGATATCAGTGCTGTAAAAGTAGCGTGTACATTTGGACATATTGGATTGTTGGTAATGGTGCTCATCTCTTCATGTGCTCTGGAAAAGACTTGTAGTGTGACATATATGGGTTCGGTGTCAGTATTGCTTAGGTAGGGCGTATAATTGATTATTCTAGGTAGGTGGTGATGATATTCATATCTTCTTGTACTGTACAGTTAGTTATATATATAAAATTTAATGAAGGTATTCATCTCTTCCTCCTTAAGAGGGTGTTTGATACTTTAGATCATGATTTTGTTTTGGTAAGCCTGTTTAGTGTTATATTGATAAAATGATCAGATGGTCATGAGACGTCTAAAAATATGCTTCAGTTTGCTGTTGAGTTCTGTCTCAGCTCTATTTCACCGTAATACAGCAAGTATACCGACCCCTTTTAATCACCCATTGCCCACTCATACGTGGTATTGAGAACATAAACGGCTACCAGACGTGTGCGTATAGAACTTATTCGTATGAACCAATTTAAACGCTAGCCAAAGTGCATGATTAAAGACTCAAAAGGTTTTGATAAGTATCGTGGGTACAAGGAATCTTTGCACACGCCTATATAAATTGCCACAAACCTTTCACTCGGCTTATCAGTAATATCTATTTTCGGCCGTTCCGATTCCGGGACAATACGGTATATCAGGTCCCGCTTCACCTCCACGGCAAAACGGCCCTCACGCCCACGTGGAGTTACCAAGGCTATGCGGTCTTTATCAAGCATCTCTTGACACAGCAGAATACACTCCTCATTGGTCAGGCTGTATTCCTGGCCCAACCAGCGCGTACATTCGTTGCCAGTGAATGTGTAGGACTGCGTGGGAGCTGTGGCGAGAGAGGTTGTGGGTGAGTGTTTCGGATATGGGATAACATTCTACTTGTTATGAAGTTGTTATGAAGTACGGATATATATATATATATATATATATATATATTATGTATATAATATATATATAT